AATTTGTTAGAAAAAAATCCAAATAAAATTATAGTATGAAATAAGTCTATTCAAATATGATGACATTTAGGACATTGAGGCTGTATCCAGTATACCCGGGGGCACCGTGCCCCCCTCCTATTTTTTACATTTTTAGTTCTTATTGTACTTTTTTCTCAATCTTTCTATATTTTACACGTTTAGTCCCTGTGAGTTTTTTTCTCTTTCTTCCAAAAAAAACATCCCTAATCTTTAAACGACCATATCTCCCAATCCGTGAAAAATTTGTGAACGAATTATATATGAAATTTATAGTACTCGTCGAGATCTATCCAACAAAATGCATAGTGAATATTTTTTCGGGATAAAAAATTACTTAATTCTGATGGACAAAATAGGGGTGGATATCCAGTTTTACAAGATGGATAACCAACTTGTTCTAAATTGGTTATCCATCGTGTTCATGCTGATTATCCAATCAGTTTAAACTGGTTATTCATTTTGTTTCTACTGCTTATCCATTTGGTTATCCAACTTCTTAATTCAAAATAAGTTGGTTATCCATCTTCTTAAACTGGATATCCAATGTGTTCATATTGATTATCCAATGCACTAATACTGGTTATCCAATGGACTTACATGCTTATCCAAATTATTTGTACTGGTTATCCACTGTGTTCATGCTGATTATCCAACTTGTTTGTACTGGATATCCATCCATTTGGTTTGTATGCATATCCAACGCTAATATTTCAACGAGCATATCTCCCAATCCGTGAAGAATTTGTGAACGAATTATACATGAAATTTATAGTACACGTCGAGATCTATCCAACAAAATCCACGGTGAACATTTTTTCAGGCTTAAAAATGACTTAATTCTGACGGGCAGAATAGAGGTGGTTATCCATCTTCTTTCTTCTTTTTTTTTGAAGAGTGAATGTCAAACATATGATTGGATAACAAGTACGAACCGAATGGATAATCACTCCAAACCGGTTGGATAATCAGCATGAACACAACGGATAACCATTTTTCAAAGAAAAACGAAAAACACATTTCTTCATTTTCTGCCTGTAAAGTTTAAATTCATTTAAAGTTCAAAAAAATATTCAACATGGATCTTATCGGATAGATCTCGTCGAGCACTATAAATTTCATATATAATTCGTGTTATAATTCTTTACGGATCAAAAGATACAAGGAACACAACAATATGAATGTAAAATAAGTTGGTTATCCATCTTCTCAAACTGGATATCCACTGTGTTCATGTTGATTATCCAATGCGCTAATACTGGTTATCCAATGGATTTACATGGTTATCCAAATTGTTTGAACTGGTTATCCAATGTGTTCATATTGATTATCCAATGCGCTAATATTGGTTATCTACTGTGTTCATGCTGATTATCCAACTTGTTTGTACTGGATATCCACTGTGTTCATGCATATCCAACTCTAATCTTTCAACGAACATATCTCCCAATCCGTGAAGAATTTGTGAACGAATTATTTATGAAATTTATAGTACTCGTCGAGATCTATCCAACGAAATCCACAGTGAATATTTTTTCAGGCTTAAAAATGACTTAATTCTGACGGGCAGAATAGAATAGAGGTGGATATCCATCTTTTTTTTTTTTTTTTTGAAGAGTGAATGTCAAACATATGATTGGATAATAAGTACGAACAGAATGGATAATCAGTCCAAACCGATTGGATAACCATTTTTCAAAGAAAAACGAAAAACACATTTCTTCATTTTCTGCCCGTAAAGCTTAAATGCATTTAAAGTTCAAAAAAAATATTCAGTATAGATCTTATCGGATAGATCTCGTCGAGTACTATAAATTTCATATAAAATTCGTGTTATAATTCTTTACGAATCATTATATACAAGGAAAAGAATAATATGAATGCAAAATAAGTTGGTTATCCATCTTGATTATTTATGTTAATACTGTTTATCTAACTAATTAGTACTATTTATCCAACCTGATTTTTTTTATTATTTTTTTAAAAAATAATAAACTAAGTTGGTTATCCAACTCGTTTGTATTGGTTATCCAATCATTGGTTTGTATTGGATTATCCAATGCGCTAATGCTGATTATCCAATGGATTTACATGGTTATCCAAATTGTTTGAACTAGTTATACACTTTGTTCATACTGGTTATCCAACTCGTGCATACTGGTTATCCAACTTACTGGATATCCAACTTAATTCTGCCCAAAGAAATTTGATCATTTTTAAACTCAAAAAAAATATTCGAAATAGATCTTGTTGAATAGATCTCGACGAGTACTATAATTTTCATGTATAATTCGTTTACAAATTCTTCACGGATTGGGAGATATGCTCGTTGAAAGATTGGAGATGTTTTTTTTTTTTTGAAAGAGAGAGAAAAAATGACAGGGACTATCCTTGCAAATCATAGAAAGATTGATGAAAAATACAATAATGACTACTCCTGCAAAAAATAGGAGGGGGGCACGGTACCCCGGGTATACTGGATAATTTGCCGACATTTATATGGCTGAATTTTCTCAATGTAATTCAATAATAATTTAGAAGCTTATCTTTGGTGGAATTATTATCTATTTAGCGAATGTTGTTGGAAATTACCCCAGAACCACCACAGATTGGATGATGAGCTCAAATTTCCGGTGACAAGCCTGGTAGTATGATAAAATAAAAATAAAATATATATTAGAGATGTCTTAATTAGTTAGTACACTTCTTCATCAACATATATTATAATTGGGGAATGTGAAATTATTTTTGGTACTCCTCTCATGTGATTCTCACATGTATTTTTATGTTTTGCTTTAGATTAGTTTTTTTTTCTTCTTAAACTAAAAATGTTGTATATTTTCGTTTTCTTTTTCATATTTTCTTTCCTATTATTTTTCAACATTTATTGTGATCTTTTATTACAATTATTAAATTTTTCATCTCTTTTTATCTTTTATTGTTTACTATGTGTGTTATATGTTTTATGTCCCTTCATCTTCTATTCTTTACTATTGGTATTAAATTTCATATATATATATATATATATTTCTCTTTTATTATTTAATAATGTTATACTTTTCATCTCCCCTTATCTCTTGTAACAACTTGTTCATGTATCCTTTTGTTTACTTTTAGCATTCAATACAATAGTTTTTATTAAAATTATTTAAACACCACAATTCGAATTCATCTTTTATGTTGGTTTTCTCTCTTCTCCATTTATCTCTTATCCTGATTTTCTTTCTTTTTTCTCTTCTTTTACAAGTTCTTTAAATATGTTTTAACAATTTGATTGAAATTTCAAGTTGAATTCGAATTGAAGTAGGGATGCTGATGTTTGGCTAATCAGATAACATAAAGTTAAGTTGCAAAATCCAAAAGCAGCGAATGAAGGTTGTAACAAAAAAATTCAAATTGTTCTTGAATCATAGGCGTCTTCTTGATTTCAGGTAAAATTTAAAACGGTTAATACTTTATAATTCGTAAGCAATAGTTTTTTATTTATTTTTTCACCAAACATTTTGAAAACATGACTCTCTTTCACATATTCAGGCTATTGAATTTATTGTTGTAAATATCAAATTAAATTTATGTGAGAAAAATTACACAAAGTTCCATTTTGATCATCTATATTATTGTAACAAAATGGATTATGAAAATAATATAATGGAACATTCTTTTGTTGTTTCTGTCTTCAAATTTAAGCATATCATAATTACATATTTAGAGTTAACATATATTATTATACTCATGTTGTTTTATATTGCAGCACGTGCGAAGCGCGTTCGATTCTTCTAATACTTCTTAATTAGAAAAAGTTTTCAGATTTCAGTAGTCACTTTTGTTTTTAAACTTTTATATTGTAGTGTCCCAAAGCAGTAGTTATGTTACTCATCTTCCCCGATAAATGAAATTGAACAGATGCAATTGAATTCCTAAATTGTTTGTTTGATATTCTAAATAAGGGTTTTTTTAAAAAAAAAAAATTGTAAAGGAAAAAGTAAACTTTCTATGTATGGAGTCCATGGACCATCCTTTGAACCTATATTGTGATGTGTTTTGTCATTAATCCTCTCTTTTGAAAATAATTCAGCAATCCAAAAATTTCACCATATTGTTCATTTTCGAGGAGGTTGCAGGTAAAGAGTTAATTAAAGTTTGCAGTTTTAGGACATTTATTCAGGTCCTATATGTTTTGTATTTATGTATTACAGACTTACAGTTTCTCAAATTAGTAGGTTATTTATTAATGGTCCCCCGGGGAAATATGCACCGTACAAAATTACAAATTCGAGCATTCCCCCGCCCCCTCCCTTTTTTTATATATATTGTTGAGTAAAAGTTTCTCAAAAATAATAAAAAAAAAAAATCAACTCAAGCTATATGGATTGATGACATTTGAGAATCCTTTAAACTTTCATATAACCTTTCTTTTTTCTTGGAAAAGGTACATGTATTCCATTGAGAGCCATGATAATTGGGTATTTTGTGTTTTGGGATTAAAAAAAGGAAAATTTAATATTTAGTATAAAAATATTTTCATGAGACAAATTTGTGACATTCTTTATTGAAACTAATATTTTAACTTTTGTGTCAAACACGTGATATCTAATACTCCACCCGTCCCATAATTATTGTCCAGTTTGGATTTTCATTTCTATTTCAAATTGTACTAAAAGTGAAATCTCAAATTGGAGAATAATTTTGGGATAGAGAGAGTACCTATTAAACTTTTACTACTGTAGACAAGTCAACTTTCAAGTTAAATCCTAATAATTTTGTGAAATTTGATTCCCACCTTAAGAGTTGTTAAAGTTGCATACATTTTGTTTAAGAGAATACTCTCTTTCAAGATATCTTGTACCAAACCTTTGCTTTCTTTTTTTTTTTTGGCTTGCTTCATCTTGCAAATTAGTGTTTAAAAGGTAGAAATAAGAACAACATTTTCATCATGTTTGTAGTTAGTTATATTGTTTCCTTTTGCAAACTTGAAGTTTCATAGTGAATCAGATAAGACTTAAATGTATAGATTCCCTTCAAATATTCCAATAACAAGAGAAGGCAAATATTTCAGTTTCAGCTAGACCTTAAGTAGAAGCGTCTTCTTCATGAGGAATGGATTTTCTTACATTTGCACCATCAAGATAATGCTGATACATATAAGAAAGGAAACCCCAAATAGCAAGTAACAAAGCAATGATTTTCACCCCATCCACTTTGTCATGGAAGAAAATCACTCCAAAAACTGGAACAACAGGCAGGGATATTGTGTCAATGACATTTGAGAACAGGGACGACACCTCAAAGATCAACCCTAACAAGCCCAACGATGACAATTGCCATGAAACTGCAGTAAAAAACAAGGTCAATACATAAGATGCTTTGCCCTTCTTGTAGTTCTGCATTTCACTTGGCAAAGTTTTCCATTCTCCACTAACAAAAAGTCCCACCAGACTAACACAAGTGGCGACAAGGGACGGATAAATTTGCAAGTCTAGAACAGCACGAATTGTTTCCTTCTGGAGGATTTTCTTAAATGACAGTTCCAACAGAGAAAGGCCTAGTGAGTACATGGCAGATCCACCTAGAGTGCAAAGAAATCCGAGAATGTACTTCCCTTCTGATGCTACTGTTGAGTCGTCTGAATCTGGATGGACTGCGAGAAGTGAGGCTGAGATGGTGAGGAGAAATACCGAATTCAAGATTAATGCAGTAAATTTTTGAGAGTTTAGTAGGAAGGAAAAGACTGCATTAAAAGCTAATTGGGAGGCAGAAATGAGAGAATAGGTTGAGACAGGAAGGTACAAAAGGCCATAAGAATACAACAGATCATCGACTGCGAAAAATATGCCAAAAAAGAGACACAACAACAAAAGACCGTATGTTGGTAGATGTCTTGATGGATCATTTATGTTTGAGGTATTGATCAATTGGGGGTTTGTCGATCCCCAGGAGAAAAACAAGAAAGGGATCAAGATGGGGAAGCCGGCTTCTTGAACAAAAGTTGCCATCCATTTGCTGTTCCCCCCACTGTCAAAATAAAATCTGCCTAAAAGAGTAGCAGCAGATTCACCAACAATAATAAGAATAATGAACAGAAACACTTGAAACCACCACTTGTACTGTTTGAATCTTGGAAGTTGGAGTCGACTGGGACTATTAGAGCACCTCTGTGGGTTCAATTCCTCGTCTTCCACTAGAAAAATGGTTCAAACACACACAATTACTAAAGTGTCATGTATAGTTAGCTACCATTTATACACCTAAAATATACTCTAGGTCATAGTGCATGATGATTAACATAAGCAGGAACATACAAGATCTCCTCACGAATCCAAAAACTGCTGAGAGTTCAAATGCATCGAAGTATTTAGTTCATCCATATCCTAACCATCATTGAAAGTGTTCAGGGTTCACACACATTGATATTCCGGGTAACATCATTATGAGCCAAGAGTTTGCTCAAGAACATGTAGTTCATATTCACATCCTAACCATTACTTAGCAATCGTAATTTCCTTCTTCTCTCAATTACTCAGAATTGTTTAACCATGTTCCACTGACATAGGTACTTGAAAGCTAGGTGAAAATCTCTATCATTTATACCTAGTTCAGACCCGTGATTTTAGCCAGGAAAAACCTGACAGGAATGAGGATGCTCAACTGTCTATACTAGAATTTCCAGAGCAGACATTCCTGATATGGATGTAACATTACACGTTCCTAATGAAGCCCTTCCTAATTTGTAAGTATAACACTATCTGCTGAAAAACTGCTACTTTTAGGCACTAACAAGGATCCTAAATTTCACATTGCATTTATAAAGATGATATCTTTCATCCACTTATCCAAATACTGCTAATTAGACATTCTCCAGTAAGGATAGACCGTATAGAAAGATAACCAGCTGCAACTCCGTAAACTGAAATACAGCACCAATTGGGTTTACCCATTCAAAATTTCAACTAAACCAATGAATTAGATGCAATCTGCAAAGTATAAATTAACAATCCAGTCAAACAGTAAAAAGGGCCAATCTAATTTAGCATATCAAAGTTTCAGTCTATCAAACAAATATCCCAGTAGCAAACAGTTTCAAGTAAAAGGCATTTAGCACTGTAAACAAAAATTAAAAGAAGGGTGGAAAGTAAAAGCAGGAGCTTGTTTGATATCTGACCTCCGATTTCCATATATCGAGTGCCCTCCATGATGGAAGACTTGGTTGATCAAAGCCTAATCACAGAAAGAATCTCACTTCTCGATTTAAGGGATTTGGAGGGATTTAGACAAATAGATCGTCAACTCAACTGAATATGAGAGAACAAATGGGCTTAATGAGCTGGATTTTGAGGTTGTGTCCGAAAAACCCATAAAGTTTCGAAGGTTGATAATTCTTCCTCCTAGATATAAAGTACGAAATCTGGAACATATGGAGGGAGTCTTCTGATTTTGATTTTAAGCATTGAACTACCATTGGAATGGAGTTGACCGATTTCTCTTCATTTACTTCATTAAATCTGGGAAACTATCTGTAGAAGAAGATAATTAATACTAATATACGGTGTCCTTATTTTGATTTGTAGTGTATATCTAAAAATGCAGAATCTAACTTGTAACCCCTTGATTTTCTAGAAATCTTATTTGAAACCTCAAGTTTACTAAAGAACATTCCTATAATGGTAACAATAACTTCGTTATAGCAAAAAACTGTGTTTCGCATGATTGATGTATACGATTATTTTAAATTATCAACCGTGATTCTTGAGCTTAAGAACGTGGCAGTAGATTGGCCACCGTCTTTGATATGTTCTCAACTGAGATCAGGAACAGAACCAATTCATTATCAAACTAAGGTTCCGTTTTGTGTTGTCAAAGAAAACAGAGTTTTATTGATTTAGAGACCATGTTCATACTTCTAAAGGGTTCTCCCCAGTTTGGAAAATGAAATCTTTTTAGTACTAAGCTAACCAACTTTCCCTAGAACCAAAAAAAAAAAGACTAAATCACAGCACATATCCTGTCTAAAGCAAACTCTCTAAACATATACCTTCATGATATAAGTGCCATTGATTTTCAAATTCAATCTACAACCTTTGCTTAGGCAGAGGTTACTAACACTCTTAGCTGAGCAAGCTTCAGTTGAATATGCTGGCACCCATCTTGCTACTCCTCTATTGAACTGCAATGATCCATAAAAATATATATATCAGCCAAATCTTATCATCTACACGGAGAAATACATAAATCCCATGCGGGAGTTCAAATCATTCAGTAGTTCTTAATCCTAGTTTTCTTGAAGAACTACAGTATTTGAAATCAGAAATGCAGTTCATGAAGAACATGTAATAAGCCAATACATTTTCATTGAACTGATGTTCATATATATCAGAAGTCCTATAACATATATAACGTCCAAACTCGACATAAGTATATGAAGCAATTTAGCGAAGAAAAACAAATTACCTTTGGGATTTCTCCGAGGAAATGGACTTGGTTGTCCTGGCATTCTCACCAATTTGAACTTGAAGATCAAGTTTCCTTTTGAATTCTTCTCTCTCCACATTGTCTCTACAGTGTAAAGTCCAACATAAAAGAAACTACGAGAGTTTAACACTTTGGTTCCCCTTATCACCCTCACAGGATTCTTAGTTTGGATGCTATTCATGAGTGCAGAATTCCCCATCTTAAGCTTTTGATCTTCCGCTAAGTCTGGTTGATTGCCATTTCTACACCTTGGATTTCCCCCATGTCCGCAGTAGATCAAGGTTTCTGGACTGCTCATGCAGTTATCATACACTCCGGAATCAACTATGCTTATTGCAATCTTTCTCCCTTTGTTGTCCAACATGAAATCAATGCCCCACACTGGAGGTCTATGCAAACCTAAAAGATGAAGTTCCATCCTGTAACTAAACCGATCACCAACCTCGACGCCGGGAATTGGTCCTAACACAGCTTTGTCAGGAAGAAGATATTTTCTTCTCACCCAATTTGCTGCTTCAAAGTCAACCCTTTTACAGCCTCTATTCTTTTCATGTTCCTCCAACAACATGTCATTGTACTCACGAAAAGCACCAAGTATACTCTGTACTCGCTTTCGATCTCGTATCCACCTATCTTGGTCCTCTAATCTCTGTCCGGAAGTTGAAGCTTTAGAGGCTGCAGCAACATTCTCACTCTTCCTCACAACCATCCGTTCATTTTCGACATCTTCATTAGTACGTTTCTGTGTAAGAATCGGCTTCGGATTCAAACAACTTTCCACTTTGCAAGATTCAGTGTTGGTTACATCTTGAAGAGGGGACAATGATTTCTTGGTGAATTCAGGAGACTTTCCACCATCATCAATCCAAGTTTTAACAGCTTCTCCGCCATGTTCAAGTTTTCGTGCACAAGTTTCTTTTTCTTCTTCACTAGTGCATCCCCTGGAAGCTATCCGGTGTGGTCTACTACTACTAATAACAGAGCAAACAACGTTAGCCCGCAACTTGTTCCGGAAACGGTAGTCTCCAATAACTAGAGGACTCCTTTCGGATTCCGAATTGTTACTTTTCTTGTGCTTCCCTACTGGCTGAGGTTCCATACATGAAGTCTTGCTCCAATGCTCAATCCCAACATTGATTTTCTTTCTTTTTCGTTCCATTGGCAGAAGTGCTCGTTAATCTTTGCTTGGATCGCTACATTTCACAGAGCAAAGACAGTATTATTCATTTAGTACTCATTCAATAAATCACACTCAACTGGATCGAATCAAATTATTCAAAATACTTCAATGGGGCTCATTTTCTCAATTGCGCATCATCAATCCCAAAATATTGAAAAAAATAATAATAAAATTTTACTCCCTCTTTAATGGTGTTATAATCATCCGTCTCAAATACTAATATAGTATGACAATGTGGAATATTAAAACGGGACCGGCGTAATAAAAACGCATAATGCATAGGAATTCTTTGCTTCTAACAAATTAAACCCGTAATTTGACAGAAAGCAAGTCATATGCAGTATCAATAAATTAAAATCAAAGGCATGGCCTCATTAGAACACTAATCATTGGAGATAAAAACAACAAACTGTTACAAACTAATAAACCGTAACACAAACGAAATTCACGGTGTCACTCAATCAAGGACGAAAATAAAACCCAAAAAAAAAAAAAAAAAAGGATTGATAGACGGAAGTGGAAAGGAAACCTGTGCAGGAGGAATTCAGAATGGACAGTTCTGGAAGTGTAATCCGGTAAATTCCAATTGTAATGCAATTACAGAAGGCAACCGTAAACTGTTAAAGACTTTCGGTCAAATGAAAAGGTGATGACGGAGATGCCGGAAAATGAATGCACAATTCGCCGGTAGTGAGGAATCTAGAAGGTGGAGTATATGGCCGTTGGGAAGATAAAAAGGAGGGAGTGGGTAGACGTCGTGTAATGATGGGGGAAAGAAAGTGGGGGAACTTACTAGAGAATTCGAAATTTGAAAAAAATAAAAATGTGACGGTTGTACTTGGGGGTGTAAAGACAATTACAATAAAAACCGGGCATGTCGTGTAATAAGGGCAAACAAATTTGATGCGGCAGATAAATCAAAGTAACTTCCAATGAACAACTCGCGTCTTATATATTAAGGCAATAATCTAGATATCTTTATAGATTTAAGACATTAGTTTAATAAAAATAAAACTTCTAATATAAAGAGATATTCTCTAAAAGAATCTTATCTTTATCTTGAAAAAAATTTTCCGGAGTTGTCAATTCTATCAGTATCTTCTTTGTAGAGTAATTATAGTCACCAATTTTGATGTAACTTGTTGGTGTCAAACGAACAAAAATAAAATAACCTACTCCTAACAGATTTATTAGTATAACAGTTAGTAGGGTCGTCTCCTTAGAGAACAAGTAAGTAAATTTATATCTAATTAAAAACCAAGTAACAGAAAGCAAGTTGTTTTGAGTTTCAAATAAGTAAAAGACAATTAATAAAACAACAAGAATTAAGATGATAATAAAGAGAGAAGGTTCTAGTCAAAGGAATTATTTCCACCTTGATGTATACAACCGATCCTTAATGCACGAATTAACTCAACAAATTATGAATATATTGGTTTACGTTATTGGAACTTCCTAACAACTCAGTCTTTTTAATTCATTACCAGTAATTAAAAAACTTTCATTAACCACTCTTAAGTCAAAAACACTACCTGGAACATCCTAGCACTTAGTTTTTAACAAACAAAGAGCCAATTCAACTTTTAAATAAACAAACTTTGCTTAGTTAAAAGTTGATTATCTATATTCACAACACAATGAAACTACTTACCAAACAATAAATTGCATTATTATTCTTAGGAACAAAAAAACCTTGTTGTTCAATAAATTAGATTATCTAGGAAAAATTAAATGCTACCAATTATTCAATTAGTGCCAGATAATCATCAATACAAATCAAAGAGAATCAATAAATAATCACAATTCGTGGAGATATAAAAACAGTTAAATATCACAATTGAAATAACATCAAAACTTCAACAATCTTTCAACTAGAAAAAGAGAGTATAGCTATTAATATTACTAAAATTAATAGCAAAAGAGTAAATAATTGACATTACAGAGGTAGTAGAGAAGAAAACCTAGAAAAATCCGCCCTTTCGTAGCTCCAACTGTCACGCCTTTGTTGCCTCTCTTCCTCCTCTTCTTGTTTCCCTTTGTTTGGTCGAATTTTCCCTCTATTTATAAGGGAAGATGGTTGAAAACTCTCTTATTAGTAGGAGAATAAATAAGATTTTAACTATTTTTTCCTATTTTTACAGAGTACAAGTCAAATCGAACTCTTTTGACAACTTATTTCTTAACTAGTAAGAAAATGAACTTAAACCTTTTTATAGACTCAAAACACATTAAGTCTATAAGGAATAGAAGTAACCTCCAAGTAAAAGATTACTTCTATGAAAATAATCGTCTTTTTGAGTACGAACACAATTTCTTATTGGAAACCTTTCTTCTTTAAGTGTGAAAAAAATTTGCTTAACTCCTTCCTAAAGAATAGGAAATTTTAACTCCAAAAACTTAGGAAATATCCAATTAATTCATCCAAATCCGCAGCTGCCCTCCAAGTGTCCTGAAATTGTAGTTTAGTCCTTGAAAATTGTAGAAATTATATTTTTACCTCAAAACTTTCTCACTTTTGCACTTTAGTCCTTGTACGAAATTTCCAGCTTATTCTTCAACGTGATCACGTGCTATATCAACTCCACTTTTGACCCCCCCCTCTGCCGGTGCATAAATCTCTTAAAAAAGAACTTTGATAAATCTGTGAAATCAACATTTTTTCATCATTTTCGTCCAAAACACCTTCTATGATCAAATTAAGTACAAAACACCAATATTAGCATAGATACTACTCAAAATAACACATAAATAACTATAAATATTACGCTAATATTGATTTTATTAGAGAACAAACTCAAAAGTAGATAAAAGAGAATCACTTTAAATCTTATCATTTCATGATTATGATAAGATTTAAATGATCTATCTCTAAAAAATATGAATTTTTTCAAATCTTATCCTTACACAAGTGTGATAAGATCTTATCCCTAAATAATTTTATCTATCAATATATTGTTTGTAGAGTATTTATAGCCGCCAATCTTGATGTAACCTTGATCGAATGGTTGAATCGTTAAGAATACACATCAAGGAATAGACTTCTTGTTGTGAACAAACTCAAAAGTAAATAAAATAGATACACTTTAAATCTTATCCTTCCGTGATTGTGATAAGATTTAGAAGAATTTCAAATCTTATCCTTACACAAATGTGATAAGATTTAAATGATTTTATTCCTAAAAGATAGATAAATCAACTCCTAAAAATTAAAAGATGAGACCCGCGACCCTAACTTATAGTGTGGGCCGAAATATTATTCTTCAAGTGGACCAACTCCATTTAGTGATTGCACATTAATAATTTTGGACTTGTAATCTTCAAACTTATCCCTTTCCTTGGCCCGAGTAATTTTTATGAAATTATTAACTGCAGTATGCATTTTATTTTTATTTTTATTTTTTGCTTTTGAACGAGTTATTGAACCTCTCATATTGGATCATATATCTTGAGCACGGATATTATTTAGGTCTCTTTAGATTTACACATCATACAATTACGACATAGTAGAAGATTTACTCCCTTTCGTTCTCCTTTGGAACCTTTTATTTATATCATAGTCAAATGTTTATGGAAGATTCTAGAAGGCCTCCAAATTATTCATGGTATTGTAAAACTTACAACTTTCAGAACCTGTATTGAATTTTCTAGATCTGAAATATTATTATTATTATTATTTTTTTTTTCGGAATGTAAGCATTTTCTTGAAAGGTTTTTATGCTTTAAGAGCTATTCCCAATTGGCTTTTCCCACGTTTATTCTTTTTCTTTTCTTTTCATTTTATATTACTCCATATCCTTAATTGATTGGTCAATTATATACTTAAACATCTATAAATTAATACTATTAGGATCTCAAAAAATTATTAATTTATTGATGTACTAAATTTATTGATATTAAATCAATAAATTAATAGTTATAAATTTATCGATTGATCAATAATATTAATTTAAAGAAAATCTCAAAGAATCCTATTAATCTTTTAAGCTTAGCTATATAAGATTTATATTTCTTTATTTTCTTTTATCCAATAGGCATTAGAATTTAAACTCCACCATCATTTTAAATTTTATCACCTACCTAATCTACGTAACATGCCTCTAAAAGAGATCTTTTTCTGGGAAATCTTTAAACTCCCATCAATGGCTGGATACATAATGCAAAAAATTCATAGCATTTATAATACTTTGATTCTCAAGCTCATAGTGTTTTTTTTTTCAAGTCATTATTAATTTATGATATTGATGGACCTCTATTTACATAGAGGATTTTTTAAAAAATTATTATCTTATTATTTTATCGATTATCTTTGTTTTTTGGACTGGTCCTAACTTGGGACCGGAGAAAATTATTTATTTATCGATGTTATACTGTATATTTTCTTCATCAAAGCAAATTCATTGAGATGAACCTTGTTTCTTCTCCTCCTCTTTTTTTTTTTTTTTTCCAATTTTCCTTTTTCATAGTGTTGTTTTTGAGTTCCAAAGAAGCTCGTTCAAACTCACTATTTTTATTTTTATTTTTTTGGCTTTCATATTTAATTTGGAAAAAAAAAAGAGAAAAAAGGGTAATTTATCAGTTCTTACACTAAATATAAATACAACATTTATTATATGTAAAAATTTAGAAAAGTATATAAGATGGATGTGATTACTTATCAACTCATTCAAGATGATAGTATAAACTAGTAGGTTCAGAAAATTCGCATGTAAAACAGATTTTATAAGCTTCGTTGTGAATAATTTAGACATCAAGATACAAGAATAAGGATTCTATACAAATACAAGACAACCATAATAATCCCACAAAAGGGGAAAGAACCAAGTAATTCATCAATTCTTACAATAAATATAAACACAACATTTATATGTAGAAATTTAGAAAAGTATATAAGATGAATATGATCAAGTCATGCAAGAAGATATAAACTAGAAGGCTCAACTAAGTTTAATACACAAGATTTACCTGTAAAATATATTTTTAAGCTTCGTTATGAATAAATTTAGACATAAAAAATACAAGAATAAGAACTTTTCCAAGGGATTGGTTGTCTGGTAAGGTTTTGCCCCCACAGGAGGGTTATAAAGGCGCTGCCATAAAAAAACAAATATTCCTGCAATAAACGGCAAAATTTGCCTCCCAAAAACTACATTTTCTTCTGCTTCCTTAACTTGCTTGTATCCCAAATCCTAAGCAAGTGGGCATGCCCGGGAAAGTACCTATAATTCAGCACTCATGATAGTAAGCTTATAGAAGCAAGTTGGAGTCCCCGGAAAAGCACCAATATTCAGATACTGAAATTAACCGCCTAACCAGGGACGGCAATTGCTAATCTTGAAACCCCCAATCAAAGGCCCCATCAGAAATGAGAGGACTTTAGTTTAAGATGTGTGTGCATCTTACCTCAAATAACCAAATAACAAGTCAAGATTACTTGTTCAGTTTCAAGTGAGACTTAAAGTGGAACAGTCTTCTTCATCAGCAAGGGATTTTCTTACATTTGCATCATCAAGATAATGTTGATACATATAAGAAAGGAACCCAAAAATAGCAAGTATTAAAGCAATGATTTTCACGCCATCTACTTTGTCATGGAAGAAAATCACCCCAAGAACTGGAATAACAGGAAGGGGTACTGTGTCAATGACATTTGAAAACAGGGATGACACCTCAAAAATCAACCCAAACAAGCCTAGTGATGACACATTCCATGAAATTGCATTCCAGAACAAGGTCAAGACATAAGATGCTTGACCCTTTTTGTAGTTTTGCATTTCAATTGGCAAAGTTTTCCATTCTCCACTAACAAAAAGCCCCACCAAACTAACACAAGTTGCAACAAGGGATGGATAAATTTGCATGTCAAGAACAGCATAAAAAGTTTCTTTGTGGACAAATTTCTGGAAAGATAGTTCAATCAAAGAAAGGCCAAGCGAGTACATGGCTGATCCAGCTAGAGTGCAAAGAAATCCAATAATGTAGTTCCCTTCCGAAGCTATTGTTGAGTCGGTTGAATCTGGATGGACTGCGAGAAGTGAGGCTGAGATGGTGAGGAGAACAACCGAATTCAAGATTAATGCAGTAAATTTTTGAGAGTTTAATAGGAACGAAAATACTGCATTAAAAGCTAATTGGGTGGCAGATATGAGAGAATAGGTTGAGACAGGAAGGTATAAAAGGCCGTAAGAATACAACAAATCGTCGACAGCAAAAAATATGCCAAAAAAGAGATACATCAACAAAAGACTGTATGATGGTATGCGTCTTGGAGGATCATTTTTGTTTGCGGCGTTGATCAATTGGGGCTTTGTTGATGGCCGGGAGAAAAACAGGAAAGGGATCCATATGGGGAAGCCAGCTTCTTGAACAAAAGCCGCGATCCATTTGCTGTTCCCACCACTATCAAAATAAAACCTGCCTAAAAGAGTAGCAGCAGATTCACCAACAATAATAAAACTTGTGTACAGAAACACTTGAAACCACCACTTATGCTGTTTGAATCTTGGAAGTTGTAGTTGACTGGCACCAATAAAGCTCCTCTGTGAGTTCAATTCCTCATCTTCCGCTAGAACAATGATTCAAAAATACACAATTACTTCATTCCTCATCTTCTACTAGCACAATGGTTCAAACACACAATTACAGAAGTATAATGTAGTTAGCCATCAGTCATCAATTTCAGAAACATCACATTCTTGGTCATAATGCTTGATGACAAACATTAGTAACATACAACACCTGCTCATGACCCTAAAAGTTGTTCAGGATTCAAAGACATTGCAGTATTCAGTTTGGTTGTCTTTGACTTCAAATTATGGGAAACATCATCACAACTCAAAAGTTAACACAATAACGTGTACTTCATCTTCACATGGTAACTTTATTACGGAGCAATCGTAGTATACTGCTTCTCTCTATTATTCAGAAGCATTTAACCATGTTCAATTGACATATCTACATGAGAGCTGCCGGAGAAACCGCAATTACTTTCACCAAGTAAAATAACTCAACTTTACCCAAGAAAGAGCTCTAACCAAACAGTGAGAGGAACACCACACCTTGCTCAATAATATGTACACGAATTTCTGCAGCAGACCTTAATATGGATTTAGCTGTACACTTTTCTGATGAAGACCCTCCTGATTTCTAAGTACATTTACCACTTTTTGCTTAACTAACAAAGTGGAGTACTACTTTAGCTATCACTAGGGGTCATGATTTACTTCCATATTGCGCCAATAAAGATTGTAGTAATTTTCATCTGAATTATCCAATTTACTCCTAAGCATCTAAGACATTAGCAGAGGGTTATCTCCACTGCCTAAAAAAATTCAAGATTTGCATAAATATAACCAGCTGTCTAATGAATACAGGACCACCAGAGCTTTTCCATTGAAATGTCACCAAAACCAGTGCAGGAGATGCAATCTAATCAATAAGAACTAAAATTCCTTCTTTTCTCTATGAACATTCAATTATCACGCTCAACTAACATCACCATTCCAATCAAACTACAGAAGGGACCTGTCAAATTTGGGAATGCTGCCTAGCCTATATTTCTTCTACTATTTTATGCCAAAGGTCAAAACTTTCAAAGTTCAATTCAATCAAACAAGTACCCATTATTAAACTGCTTCAAGCAAAGGCATTAAGCATTGTTGACAAGATCAGAAAGAAAAAAGGGAAGTAAAAGCAGGAGTTTGTTTTATATCTGACCTCTGATTTCCCTGTATCGAGTGCCCTCCATGATGAAAGACTTTAGTCGCTCTTCAATATTGGGGGGATTTGGAGGGATTTTAGACAATAGATCGTCAACTGAGTATCAGCACACGAAACTTAACGACATGAATTTTAAGGTTATTTTCAAAACTTTCTGAGTTTTGAATGTTGACAATTAGTTCAGTTAAAAGTAAAGTAAAGAAATCCGGAAAGTATGGACGGTAGTCTTTTGATTCTGATTGATCATTATAAACCTCAAACTGTTGTTGAAATGAAGTTGACCGTTTTGTTGTATCTGGGATTTTTTCCCCCATTATTTTTAGTACTGAAAATAATATAGTAACTGGTTCTGCAGGGGTACAAAATGGATTAATGACTATTGTTTCCAAGGATAAATAGGAAAAATAAAAACTGTCAAAAAAATAAAAATAAAACATGGAATCAAAATCAAATAAAATATTATTCTCCATTTTTATAGATTAATTAATAAAAATTTGCACCATTGGAGTAATCAATTTCATGAATGTTCGCGAAAAACTTTACAACCAAAATTCAAAAAAAAATAAAATAAAATTTGCTAACGTCGACAATGCAATTTATCTATAATAAATAACCAGATGTTTGGCCCGGGCATCTGCTCAGGCGCTCTTCTATTTTAATTTTGTGTTGATAAATAAATGAATTCTTGATTTGGAAAAAATAAAATAGTTACATATTTGGTTTTTTACCTTTTTTTAGCCAAAAATAAAAATAAAAAAAATTATCTGCCAAAGGAGAAAAAATATTGAAAAGTACAAAGATGCAGAAATCATACAAAAGAATGTGAAGTAATAAAGTAAGTTTATGGACAAATTTAAATGCTATTTTAATTTGATTGATAAATGATAAATGTTAGGAGTTAAAATTGTGTAGCTATTTTTGTAAAGTAGATTTTGTTTCTCCAGATAAGATTTTTTTTTTCTTTTAAAAAGGGATGACACGTGGCAGAATGATTAATGCAATATGGTGCATTTGGAGCCAAAATTTTTTAATAAAAAGTTACCACATCAACATCTGGTATTCTGCTTTAATAGAGTAAAAGGGTTGAGTTTCTAAAATTAAATCGCTTCCTTCTTTTGCTTCTCATCAACTACATTTGTAGTAAAGTCGTCATTTGATTATTTGATCCTCAGGCCTGTAAATTTTATGTAAAATAATGAACTTTTGACCAATCTAAATTTATTTCAAAAGTCAGAATGTAAAGTAGTATTTTCTTTTGTTCGAAATTATTATCCAATTTAAATTTTCAGTTATACTACAATTCAAACTAAAATTAAAAATATAAATTGGATAATAATTTATGGACAGAGAGAATATATTAAACCTTCTCTGACATTCAATAACTAACTAGTTGCTACTCTTCAGTTGCAATCCCGAATACAGTATCATATATACTTTTGCAATTTGGGAGAAGAAGATCCTTTTTGATTTAGTCAAAAAACACTTTTTTTTTCGAGAATTGAATGACAGCCTAGTAATTAGGTTGTTGTCCTTCTTGATAATAGATTAGATTTCGATTCCCACCAAAAATTTTAAGGGAATTTTACCCATATTTAAGTGAGTTTCACTGGGAGGTATTTTTATTTATTTATTTTTAAATAAAACCCTTTCTAAATTGAATCAGTGTGTAATTGGTATTCACCATTTGAGAGGTGATTTTTATAGCTTTCGGCGGTTCCAACTGGGAGTTTAATTTGGGAAGAAGATATGGGCAAAGATTGAGGCAATGGTTTCATTTTTTTCTTGATGACAAAACGTGCAGATGGGCGTAATTTTTTGGAAGTTATTTTACCGATTTGAGAGGATGGGCTTGTGGAATGGATTTTTTTTATTTAAAAATTAAATAAATAAATATTTTTGTTTTGCTCTTAATAAGTAAAATTTGTGTCAGTTTGGGAAATATGTCACCGGAAGTTTTTTTTTTTTAAATAGGAGAAAAAGAAGAAAAACGGCTCCTTTAACTCTAGAATATAATTCCAGTAATATTTTGCTTTTTATTTTGGATTTTCTTTTTTTTTTTTTTTGGTTCTGGATTTGGATTAGGAGACTTTTTTTTTCTTTCTTTTTTTTGTTCAAGCATAAAGGCCGAAACTAAAAGAGTTGGGGAGCGGGGGGAAAACTTAGTAAGAAGTAGGAAGCTTGAGGTTGTGGGTGAATATATGTTTTGCCTATGAAATATTATTAAATCAAGATTATGGCATGAGGTTGCGACAATCTCAAACGGAGCTTTTTATGTTAATATAGGCCAGAAATTTATTTTTTTTTTTGGGTGAAAAAGTAAAAAAATTCATTTACATGATCAAGCGACAAAACGACACTCCTGCCTCTCTATTACAAAATTTTCTGACAAAACAGTGGGCTTAAACACAAAAGGGAACTAGCAGCTAAACATACTCAGCAACCCATTATAAAAAACATAAAGACATTACTTGAAGAAAAACTGTAAGATTCTTCTCTGTGAAGCTGATGTAGCATTCTGTTTTCTGCACAAGAATCTGATTTTCAACTCCGTAGGATTTCTTTAAGGACAATATCAGTTCCCCTTACCTTCCCTTCAAACCATCTTTTGTTACGCTCCTCCCATACATGATAGAGACAGGCATTAAACGCGGTAAGAAAGAGCCTCCTTTTCAGTTTTTGCCCCTTCCAATACTGTTGTACCTGCACTTTCCATCTATTAGCATCATCTACTATACTTCTGCATCCAAGCCATTTCCTGATCAAAGCAAGCAACTACTTCGCAAATGCACACTGGAAATATAGATGATCAATTGTCTCACCAACTTGATGACACAATGAGCAACTAACATCCGAGACTGTGTCATTCATCATTTGTAGCCTATCCCTTGTCAACAGTCATTCTTTTCACACCAACCATGCAATAAATGCATGTTTTGGAACAGTAGCACCATTCCATTTACAATGAGCAGTATTCCAACTCTGACCAGTACCAACCAACCAGGAATATCCAGAAAAAATTGTGTAGTTCCCGCTGCTGTTACCTTTCCATCTAGACCCATCAAAACCAGTTGCCACTTGATCCCGTATCTTTAACACTCGTTTCCACTGCCAGCTAGCATCTTGCTTCGCTTGGACAACCCAAATGGAACTCTGCTTTATATAAATGCCATGAATCCAATGAACCCACAGAGAGTCTTTTTTGAGAGCTAGATGCCAAATTTGTTTTACTACAGCTGCAATGTTCCAAATTCTCGCATCCTTTAGGCCACCCTTATTTTTACTCCGGCATACCTCTTCCCAATTTACAAGTGATATTGATCTACCGCTATTTCTGGTTCCCCGAAGAAAGTCCCGACAAATCCTATTGACCATTGTGGTTACACTCTGAGGCAGTATGAATGCCAGAAATTAGGAATAGTCCAAATTCCCATTTTTATTTTTTTATTTTATTTTTTATTTTGAAAAAATGGTAGGAGAGTTTTAAGGAAATAAGAACACTTGGATTTTTGAGAGAAAAGTAGTTTTTGTTATAATGGGAGTTATATTATTAGTTTATACCCGTGCGTTACACGGATTGACAGATCGTTATTACTTAAATATCATGTGAGTTTTGCAATTGTGAAACTTTCAGTGTGATATAGTAAACAACGAAAAATTATAGTAAAAGACTTTCGTATACAATAGTTGGTTGAATGATGCAAGTCACCCAACTGTTCAACCTGAAGTATGTTACTGTTGCACAGTCCGTCTAGCTGGTCTAAATTTCAAAGACGCATGATTGGTTTACCCCGTTTTCTACGTCAATTTTAACTAATAATTTTAATAAAAATTGATTGTAAAAATAAAACCAAAAAAACATATTAAGTGGAGAATTCCAACAAAACACATAGCAAACATTGAAACTCTTAATCTTAACTTTTGTTGCTTTATATTTTTAATACAAATTACAAATTCCTATAATATTTTCTTTTTTACATAACCACCTACATTAGAAAAGAAGTGACAGTAAGTTTTTTCAATAGAGTGATTGTGATACCTTTAAAAAATCTACTTATAAAATTTGATTGTGACACATTTTATTCATATTACAAATTCAAATACTGTTAAATCTAAAACTAAATTTATTAGAGAAAAGTTTTAAGAAATAGATAGAAAAAAAATGTAGGAAAACGTAACTATTACTAAAATAATAAAATCCATGCAGTTTTGCTTTCCCGTCTCCAATTCCTACAATTTTAAAACAATATGAAAAAATGGCAATCATTAAAAATTCTTGAACTAATAAATAATTCCTACAAAATGATAAATGAGACTCCACAAAGAGAAAAGGAAGCAAATGAAAAATAAAAATCACGCAATGTAAAATTTTTCAATTGATTTGCATATGACAGATTTAGATGTCAAGAAAGACAAAGATGGATTGGGAGGCAAGATAAAGGATGAGAGTTGAACAGAAATATCAAGAAAAAAGACTTTAGATTATAAGGATATGAAATTTGGGACATCATCCTATTAAAAAAAAAGAAAATCCGATACAAACAAAATAATGCATATAATCCATTCTTTTTAACCCGAAATAATTTGCTTTCTATGTAAGTATATCTTCCTTTATGTCACAAAATAAAATGAAATAAAAAATATTTACGTATCAATATTAATCCCATAACCAAGTAGTCATAATTGATATGGAAAAAATAAAATAAAATAAAATAAATAGCATGTTATACTTGTATAGTTGCATATCTTCAATGGTACTTTAACTTTTTTTTGTTTCTCCTTTTTGAAATCAAGTACTTCAACATGGTTAACCAAGTGGCCATTTTTTGACATTATCACTCATGTCATCTTGTTCAAATAAATATATAATAATTAAATAATAAAAAAACATAAAATCATATCATTACAAAAACTGTGAAAATTTCTAAACTGAAATGCTAAAAGAATGACTTGGTAGTTCCATGTCATTCACCGACGGGAATATAAGGTATAAAACTTATCCCAACTGCATCTAATTTATATTTTTTATTTGTAAATAAAATGTTGTGCGGATTATTTAATTTGCTGATATTTATATTCATGATTTTAGTAAAAAATGTTAAATATCAAAATTTTCTTAAAATTAAATTTATATTTTAGCCCATTAGAACTATACTTGTAGAAAACTAATTTTAACATTGTTTTCTTTTGATTCTTTTCAAAAACAGTATCTTGTATCTCACCAAAATAATAATATAAAATCCCATGGGACGGAAATATTTATACTGAATTTCTATTCTCATCAAATGATTTATATCAAAATCTAAAAAAATCTTCTACAAGAAACTGTCAATTCTTATATATTTTAATACCAATTTTTTTCATTTCTTTGTTGTTAAAATATTCATAATTGCGTGAGATAGATTTATGTCACGGTCATTAAGAAGCAACAAAAAAATTAACGAAAAGATAAATATTGTAAATATATTAAAATCACAAAAAAGGGTAATATAGACAGTTTGAAAAAAATTGCTCTGATTATAAAAAAAAAAAAAAAAAACTGACATATCAATTACCTTTTTGAATTATTAATATTTACAGAATTGATATGAAACAAGTAATTAAATAAATAAATAAAATTTATATTTTCTTGATTAAATAAATATCTGTAATTAATCAAATTAGTTTTTGATCTAGTTATTTTAGGAATAAATTTTACTCATAGATAATATAGTAATTCATTAAGATCATACTATCAAATTTGATTCCCGTAATTGATCAAGCTACTAATAAATGGTTGAAAGATATGGGTGAAAAGTAAATTGAAATGTACAATTTACTTAAAATTTTAACCATTTAATGAAGGAGGTTTTCCTCGTTGACAACTGGCAAACAAAAGCTCTCAACTTAACATGTGGAAAAAAAAAAAAATCTAAATTATTTAATTGATCGACACGTGTTGATTGAAAACTCTTTTAATATATAAAATGTAGACTTTACACAAATATGAAGTTTTACAAACAAAATTAAATGAAAATGACGAATTTTTTTATAAGCGTTATTACTGCTTTGTGACTATATGATGCAGATTTCCCTAAAGGGCCCTTAAATTTGGCTCGCCGAGTTAAGGAGTCAACATCTCGGCAGATATCAAAAAAAAAAAAGGAATATGGTACGGTATTACAAAGTTATACCAAAAAAAAACTTATCAATAAATAAATTAATGAAACAATATATATTATGGATGATAATTATGGACAATCAAGTTTATGATTTTTATTCTTCCAAAGAACTGAAACTTTGAGGTGTCTATTTAATTAATCCATTATTATGATCTACAGGAATTAAACCGGAACTCACTATGCATTCGGAATTTCATTTCCACGTGTCCATGAATGACTATGGAAAGAAATCCTTCACTTTTACCCTCTCGCTGCATTCATTCCAAAATCCGAACCCCAAAAACAAAAAAAAAAAAAGAAAAAAAATTAAAAATCATCACTATTTTTGTTAATGAAAAAATATTATGATAAATAAGAATTAATCTTTTTAGAAAAAAAAATGATTTAATACCTTTATTCTGGTGGCAGCATGAATTGATGTTAGTAATAGAAAAGATGAAGAAGGAAATAAATTAAAACAAAGCCAAAAGCACCGGAATTTGGACATATCTTAACTGTTATATTCCCTTCACCCAAAATGATTATATTTTTCATTTTATATTTTCACTTTTAGTACATTAAACTATAATTCTAAATTAGACAATTATTTTGATACAGAGAAAATATATATATATATATATATATATATATATATATATAGAATAGTACAAAACCAACCTAAGATCGAAGCAAGCCATGTTCTTAAACCCAAAACCACTGGGATTAAAAAATAAATCCAACCAAAAGTCTTGATGAGGAAAGTACCACAAGGTCATTCAACATGCAACAGACTTGCAACTGAAAATATTTGAGCGTAATTGTTTGTAAAAGAAAAAACACATAACACTTCAAATCTGCCATATTCAATAAGTGAAAAACATTGCTCTGGTTCATCTTTTAATCTGCAAAGGGTATCAAAAATAAATTAATACGGGATTTTTTTTAAAAAAATACGGGATGTAAAACTGAAGAGAATAAAATTACAAAAAAAAAAACAAAACCCAAGCCCTAAATAATTCAAGTGAAATCACAAAGATCAACGAACAACCATCCATATTAAGTATGTACACTATATACCTTCTTATTCTGAAGAGAACAACCAACCTCATCGCATCATTTCTGTAAAAATAAAAAAAATAAGGGTAAATAAGGAAATTTAGAATTGCAAGTTTGTCGTAAAATTCCAATACACAGGCTCTCTCAACATCCATATGCAAGCTATCCCTTGACTATCCCAATATCTCTATTTGAGATAGCTACGGAAATAATATGATATCGAAAAATTTTATGGCACAAAGTTAGATCGAAAAATTATACTTCAAAGAAGCACGACAGAAATAAACTAATACTACTTGAATATGATATCGAAAAAATTTTCTCCAATGGCACAAAGTTAGATGAAAGAGCAGTGTTCCACAAGCAGTATTTATAATAAGTAGGGGCATCAATTACGGTTTCTGTTGGAGGTTCAGGAAGGCAAAATTTAGAACAAATCATTCCATTAATTACCGTCTAATCATGACCATTTAGGATATTTTTTCTCAATCACATACAATCCTGGTCGCATTTATATAGCATATAAGTATTCATGATAATTAGATGCGTTATTAATTGCGGTGATACAAAAATATTAAAAGTAGCGTACAAGAGACACCAATTATATAATAGGGATTCTAGGTACATCTAGCAAGGTGTACTTAGTGTGTAAGAAACGCGCCCGAACTGAGGGCAAGTTGAACTATTTACAATTTATGCCATTGAGTGAATTACACGCGCGCATTAAAACCCCTGCAATCCGTGACCTTTTTGATTTCAAAAATCGAAAACCGCCATTATCTCATAAATTTCGGTCATTACCCAAACCCAACTTCCTATTCATTTCAATTCATTCCGTCTCAAACCAAAACATCCGAAAAAAACCAAAAATTCACTCCTCCGGCGATACAAAAATATAAACTTCAGCGGCGGAGATTACGATAAAGAACCAGAGGTTATCAACAAACCAATTGTTCGTGGTTGCTAGGAAATGAAAATCCGGGTAAACAACGGTTAAATTCTACGGGTATTCATCTGTTTAGTTTGTTTTTTAATTTATGAGGTTTGAATATTGATTTTTTATACGAAACTTTTATGCAGAAATCAAATATCATTTATTCTGATTCGGATTCTGATGCATTTGTGAGGTAACACTGCTGTTGAACTGTTAATAGATCTGATGGGTTATGTAAATTTAAGATAATTCATTCGATTATTGATGTTGTTCATCTATTTAATAGTGTTGTTCATCTGTTTGTGGTTGATTTTGGTAAAGATTGATAGATTTATGTATTATTCATCTGTTTGTGGTTGTTAATTCATCACTTTTTATAGTCACGTTTAGCCTTTTCTAGTAGATTTGATGAACTGTTAATAGATCTGAGCGTATTTCTCATTTGGGTATAATTATTCATCAAAAGGATATCATTAATCATCATTAAACTCCTGTCAATCTCATATAGTTCGTCGACAATGTGATGATTCTTGTAAGATTATGAGATTTATACATTATTCATCAGGTTTGTATAATTATTCATCTTTTTAAGTACGATACTTCATCAATGATTTAACTGTTTTTGCGTTTTATGGTGGATTTCATAAAATATTAAAAGATAATAATAACATTCATTATACCAGAGTCGAAATTCACCATGTCAACGTCATTATTCATCGTGTATTTGTTGTTCATTTTTCACAAACGTAAATCATGTGATAATACATTATTTGACATCTAATCTCATATATTCATTTGATGTACATATTCATTCATATATTCATAAATGTTAGAATATAATGCTTAACCGAAACTAACCGTCATGCAGCAACGAAAAAACAAAACTTGATAAAGCTCCCCAACAAAGTAGGATATTTGGAGATTAAATACGTACAGAATCGGTGGATGTAATGATACAAATAGAGGGACATGGAACTAAGCGAAACAGGAGTCTATCCGGTGTTGAAAAAAGGTAATACTTATTTGGTATCATTCATCATTCATCATTAGTAATGATTTGTTATGCCTCATTTTCAAATCGATACAGATAATCATGCAATTGTTATTCGTGAAACAGTGACAAAAGCAATCCTAAAAGGAAAAGAGTCCAACAAACGGGCAATCATGGACAACATCAAAAGAAGTTCCACAACGAACAGAAAAGGAATCTGGGAAACGTACTAAAGCACAAAGGTAATATATCTTTATGCATAAGTGATACTGTCATTATTCAACTGTTACACATCAGTATGCATTAGTTGTTATACTTTATTCATTGAGGGGTATATATATATATTTTTTGTTCAGAGGACCAAAAGGTACCCCAAAAGCCAAAACAGCACGGAAAGGCCAGCCTAAAAAGAGGAAAAGCATGCAAGATGAAGATAACCCGTTTCTAAATAGAGTTTTACCCCATGCTGTATGCGATTTTGTTGCAAAACTGGATGACCTACAAAAAAAAAAAACTGTCCGAGAAATCGGGTTTGGGCACCTTCTGGATATCAAATTTGAGAGGTTTGACGATCCAGATTTATGCAAATACCTTCTGGACAACTATGAGTGAGTAATATATTTTCCTACAAAATTACATTATTCATCACTTCGTTTATGAATATTCATTAGTTGAAAGGCATCAACCATTATTATTAATGTTATGTTTTTATAACCGTAATTAAACAGCCTCCAATTTTCACGGGTGATAACTCAAGGAAACCAACAGCTGACAATAGATGGGGCAGATGTGGAGGCCGTACTGGGCTTACCACGAGGTCGGTATGAAGTGGTAAACTATGTTGAAGGAAAAGGGAGTGAAGAGTACACAAGGCTGGTTGATGAAATGAGAATAACATTTGGTTTAGATATAGGCAAAGGAGGTCCACCAGCAAATAGACTGTTGAACTATCTGGTTGGTGGGAGGATGAAAAAAAAAGGAGTGGAACCAGACCCGGCAACTTTTACAGACCGTATATATGGAGATAAGTTCAAAAGATGGTTCGTCATCAGAGTTGTATCCAGTATATTCTGGAGAACAAGATCTCCGGACTGTCGTTTTCAACTGATAAACTCCCTGATAAATGTAGATCAGATCAAAGAATTGAAATGGTATTAATACATCATTACAACACTTAAGTTCACGGAGTTGGAATGGAAAAGGAATCTAGGACATTATACAGGGCCACTAGTCTTTGTTGTGGTAAATAACAAGCTGATATTTAATTCTTCAGTTGTTCATTGATATTCATTTATAACATATAGTTATTCATCTGTTTTAATTTCTAACAAAACATTTTGCAGCTCGCATACATGGATCGTGTCATACCCGATTCAAAATATAGAAGATCACGCAAATTCCCAGTAATTGCTCATTGGACGACTGATGATGTGAATAAAAGGGCAGCACACGAGAGAAAGGGAAATGGTTTCGGTAGTTGTATTATTCACCAAAAGCCTATAGATCCAACATCAAACCCTGAACCAATAACTGAACAACAGCAGAATGTAAAGGTACAATACCCAAATATAGCATTTCCATTGATTGATTTATTACAAATTATATTTTTTTAATGAGTAACATATTAGTAACCAAAGTACAAAACCTATTGTAGGAACTGGATTTGGCCGAAAGGTTTCAGGACATAATGATCAATGATATGAGGCCATTGCTAATAAAACTTGAAAAATTATTTGAAGAAGCAAAATCTGCAGGAATTAGCAGCCAATCTGAGCTAGCGAGATTATTCTTCAACTACACAAAGACAATCAACAACATGGTTGTTGAAATTGCCAAAGCTCCTGACAATGTTAATGAGGAACAAAGAAATGAAGGATAATAGCAGCAAGCAGAAAATGACAGTTTTTTGGGGAAAGGAATTGACACAGAAAGCCAATTGGATGCTTGGTGCAACAGTGAAGAGATGATTGAATGCTTAAAAAAGTTCGAGAGCTTTTTCTGTTTCCAATATACTTCACCATTGGGCCTTTTTTTGTCTTTGAACTTTTTTGCTGAAAACCCAATGCGTTTTGCATAAGAATTATAATCAGAAAAAGCCTCTTCCAATGAGTTATAACAACGTCCAATTAGCACATTATCTGTTCATCATAGAAAATTCATTAAAAACCCTACATTACTCATCAGTAACTTCTTGATATTCATCAAATAAAATATAACCTGCAATGCAAAATCCATTGGACAAAGCAGTGAAACTCTATTCATCATAACTTCACGTTACTATACTCATAAACTACAATTATTCATCATATATGGATAAATATTCATTAGTTACAAAATATTACACATCATTGACTTCCTAACATTCATCAATAAATTCATAACCTGCGTTACTCTATTCATTAAAAACAATTCGTTACTGGTACCCTATAAATAATCATCAGTTAATGATAAAAATGAATTACTAAACGCAACAACAATCATTCAGAAAAAAATAACATACACTAAATATGATCAAATTACCTTCCAAAGATTCAGAAGCACGATCATCGAATTCAACCAAAGATCTATCCTCACTAAGAACAATTGCTGAATCAACATGATCAACATCATTGATTTCTTCAACATCATTATACGAATTCAACGATCCTTCTGAGTCTGCAACATCTTCAACAACATCCGCAACACCTTCGCCATCATAATCACAACCCTCCTCACCGGAATTACTGTCAATTCTGACGTTTAAATCTAAACCTTCCATCGTTTATAATTTTTCAGAATAAATATTGGTATTCCGGATGGTATCAAATCACTCAGTTTTGGTGAAAAAGATGAAGTCAAATAATAATTAAAAGATGAATGATCGTTACGATATTACAAATGGTAACTACATTTTCAAAATTTAAATTCTTCACTAGTAACGTTTTGTGATTATGTAATTAAAATTCGGATTTTGCGGGATTTTTTTTTTTTCAAATTAAATGATGCGCGTGTAGACATGAAAACCGGGATCAAATTGGCCACTTTTTTATTGCCTTTGGGTGATATACACGCACTGTTAGGTACACCTTACAGATCTTAATATTATTTGCCCAAGAGACACTACCGATACTGACTATGGCAAATTAACTATTTATGGCATATAATAAAATTATAAACGATAATGATAATTGGATTTTTAATTTAGGTAATTAATCAATTATCAATTTGTACTAATGGTAAATAGGTGATATCGGTGGATTGGTAAATAAGTGAAAGTAACTATTTTACTTAAAAGTTTAATGAAGGATAACTTCTTTTGTCAACATGTGTCAATAGATAAACGTAACTTTGACACGTGGCGTAGAAGCCCCTAGACTATCTCATTGCGTGACACGTGTTAATTAAAAACTCTCTAATTATATATAACTAGTATTTACCCCGACATTGTGCGGGTTGTTCAAAAATAATATTAATGATGTAAATTATAATTGTGTAACTTTTAATTTCAATGCGTTTTGTTATTTGAAGAACATTTGGAACAATTTTCAATATTCGAAATCATCATTATTTTTTTCAATAAATTTATCTTTATTTTCGATATTTCTATGTATCTTTTGCAATATTTTTTAAAAAAATTCATATATTTTTCCTATAATATACTATTTACTTATTTTTTTCTTTGTTGCATAGTCTTTGCCTATTCTTTTTTTCCCCTAAGTTTGACGACCTCCCTTCAAATCTTTATTTTCTTGAAAATTTTGTTACAATTATTTTATTTTTTACTATTACCTTAGTTTCCTTTCATATTTGCTTATCCTCTACATAGTTTTTAACTTAATTGAATTATTTTTAATTTCTCATTATATTTATCTTCTACTATTTGTCTCTTACTAACATCTTTATTCTTTTTCTTATTTTGGAAAACTTTCTCTATGATAACATTAACATTTATTAGTAATCATTAGTATTTATGTTTTGTTTTATCATCATAACGCTAATTTTTTCTACCATTATATCATAAGAGAAAATTATAATGAATATATTATATTATTATATTAATTTATTTTTCATAATTTAATTTATTATTTTATAATATATTTTTATATTTTAAAATTTTGGCCAAATAATATATAATTATAATATTAATATATTATTTTTTTTCTTTTGTAGTTTCTACACAACATAATCAACAGTAATGATTAAATTAGTGTTGCTCACTGAGGGTCAAATGTGATCATTACAAAAATTTACAAGTTAAGTACCACCAACTGAAATAAAAATTAATTTACTACCAAAAGGAAAAAACCCTGATTAAATTTAATTTCCTAATATACTATATTATATATAACTTAATATATTGTCATATTATTAAAAATTTTGCAGATTAATATAGAATTATAACATTAGTATTGTTACTATTTTTTTTGTTTTGTAATTTTTACACAACGTAATTGACAGTGGTCATTTATTAGTAATGCATGTTAAGGGCAAAAGTATATTACCATTAAAAAAATTTACAATCGAAGCACCACCGACTAAAATAAAAACTAATTCACTAACTAATAAAAAAAACCAAATTAAATTATATTATTATTATATTATATATAATATATTATTAAATTATTAAATGTTTGGCCAATTAATATATAATTATATTGTAGTATTGTTATACTGTTTTCTTGGTAATTTTTACAACACGTAATCAACTGTAATTATTTAAGTATTACCCCGTTAAGGGGCGAAAAATATATTATAATTAAAAAAAATTACAACCGAAGCACCACCAATTGAAATAAAAACCAATATACTAACCAAATAAAAAGAAAAAAAAACCCCATTAGTGGTTACACTTTAACATATAATTGTATAAATCAATATTGATCGGAGAATATTATTTTTTTTCATCAGATTGGCCGTTGTTTTTTTTTTTTTTTTGGGATCAAAGTTTTATTTTATTTTATTTTATGTGTTATCTCTAAATTTATTAGTTGGAAGCTTTCTTTATTAGTTGGAAGTTTTCTTTGGGTCACATGATAACACCAAACTAATTAAACACACAGGAAAATGAATTTGTTAGTATGTATATGATGATTATATATGATGAAACAATAGTTATCCGAGTTTGAAGTGTTTTTTGGTTTTTCTTTTTGGGGTCGTCCATTAAAATTTATCTTTTAGGGTAATTTTTTAGTTAGTTTAATTTTATCTATAAATTTACAATTTCACATTAAAAAAATTATCATTAAATGATTGAGTGATGTGGTCGCGATATGTGGATTTGGCTATCTAATTTTTCTCCATGTGGATTAGCTAATTTAATCTTGTACCATGTGTCTGATTGAAAACTCTCTTTTAATATATAATTATATCTTACTATATTAGAAACAAAAACCACACTTAAGAGAAAGCACCACCATTTGCCATGTGGCATTTTCACATCATATTTATAAAATAAATTTTTATTTTCACATCTCCTAGACTTAAAAAGGTAAATACAGTCCAAATCCACCTCCACCTCCTTGTTTTCGCAAAAAAAAAAATAAAAAAATCATGGGTTCATAAAAAACCCAAATCCTCATCCCCATCTCTACCACAATGGACTACCTAATCAATCCCTTCTCCACAATATAAAAAAAAATAAATTCCTCATCGATCATCATTTGAGAATATGTGGTAAAATATACTCCATTCCAATTAGCATGTTCAATATTTTCATTAGTGATGATCAACTACATCCTAATCGGATAAAATTTTGATTTCAAAAAATATTCTCTTTACCTCTCTATATAAACACAAAGGAAAAAAAATCCCATTTATCTTGCTTCGGCCGATGTGGTGGTGCAATTACAGGTATTAAAATTTAAATGATTTTATTTTTACAGATCATTTGTTTGGCTTTTATTATTTTTTATTTTTCTCATTCAAGAATAGTGTTATTACTATTATTTTTATGCGTCCATCCATTACAGCTGTCACGGACAGTTTTTCTTCCCCACGAATTCGGGTGGTTTGCTGCGAAACAGGTTATTTTCGTAGACAGACATGGGACGGAACGGTCTAGAGCCTTGTGGAATTCTCCGGTCAAATCTTGAAGACTCTGAAATTCTCTAGAGAGGCCCGGAACTCTCTAGAAACGGGTAGAACCGTGTGGAAGCTACCCGAGTTTGCTAGAACCGTGTGGAGGATTCTAGAGACTTGTAGATATTTTGGACTTAGAATATTTTATGGTAGGAATTCTCTAGAATTCTATTATTTTATTATGTACATAGAATTCTCTAGAATTCTTTGGGACTTGGGGTTTGCCTATAAATACCCCATGCCCCCTTCATTTGTAATCCATCCAAGCTTGGAATAGAGTTCTCAAGCATTCCTTAAGCTCTCTTGTGCCTTCATCGTTCTTTCACTTTCAACCTTTCTTAAGTTTTTCTTTGCCTACGTTCTTTAAAGCCTTGCCTAGCTTTGCACGCTTTGGGGGTCTTAAGGCTGAGCTAGTACTTGATCGTTAGTTGTTTTGTGCTAGTGCCGCACGGCCGTTACTTTGAAAAAGTAAGCCCGTGACAGTTGGTATCAGAGCCTCGGCTCGATACTTGGTGTGCTACATCATCTACGCTTCCGTTTGTTGGTTTTATTTCGTGCATAAGCTATGTCCAACCCTTTGGAGGTCGTTCAAGGGTCGGAGCTTGAGAGGGATCACGTTTCCCGTGAGGTGGGGAGGACCACCTGCAAAGGAAGCTGCAAGGAGAAGTCGGTCGTTAGGGAGCCGATGGTGGAATTCGAGAAACGGCTTGCCAAGCTAGAGCTTGCTGTGGCCGACCACCAAGACCATTAGGACGAGCACCCTGAGGTGGTAGCAGGGGTCGTCGAAGCTCGCATGGAGCGATTCGCAGGGGAATTGCAAGA